TATTTCTCTAAAATTAATGAAACTGTTTCATGTATTTCTCTAAAATTAAAATAATGAAGATGATAATATCTATGATTCACCCTTCACAATTAAAATGATTAATCAATCTCTCATAATTATAAAAAAATGAACAAAATGAAATATTGTGATTGGTTGAATGAAGTTTGCACGGTTTGTACAAATTGAGTGGTTTGCATTTGATCGCTCCCCTATGTATATATATATATATATATATATATATATATATTCAATTGACATGGTATAAATTGATTATTTTTACCAAATGGTTAATTATAAATTGAAATAAAAGAAACTAGTACCGGTGGTGAAGGAACAAAACATGTTAGCCAAAGCATCAGATAGTTGTTGGTAGCTCTTGTACATCTTCAGGTCCACCTTCCGTAAGTATGGTGCCCCATCCATCGAAACCTTCACCAACCTCGCCTCCTCCGTCTTCCTCTTCCCACCAATTACGTTTTTCCGATGGTTTCGCACCGGTGGCCACCCCACCACCTGTGCCCTATTATTAATATCAATAAAACTAATTAACATCCTCAGTTTCCGCACCACAAGAAACAGGGGTTTTAGCAACGCAGCTATCGTAACAAACGATTTATAGGGATGACATATTCGTTGCTATAGCATGTGGATCAAACTTTTCATCGCCTGAAATTCGCTTTTCTTGTAACTACGTGACTAGGGAATTCATGAAACTTACTTGGCTGGTGGTGATTTGACATATAGTGTGGTGGTGGTGTCCTTGCTTACATCCGAGGATGAGGAGGAGGACTCATTTGGTTGAACAAAGTTAAGTTTGAGGTGAGTGGTTTCCGAGAAGCCTCGTTTTCCGGTGATCTTTAACGGTTCCTCCTGGTTGTGGCCACCACCGCCAGGTAGGCCGAGGCATAGCTCAGTCTCCTTGAGATGCATCATGGCTAAACAACTGGATCTTTCTTTAGTAACAGCGTACTAGTTCTTGATGGGGTTATTCAATGGCCTTGTTTAACTTGCTACTGAATGTGTGTGCTTGGGGAGAGAGTTTGAGAGTAATCTTTGAGAACAAAGAAAAGTGGTGTAGAGTAATTATTCGTGATATATATATATACAGGGGTAGGTTCAAATGAAAACCATGTCATTCTAAAAAACCGTGTAAACCAAAATCGACCAATAGAAAAATTCCATTCATTTTTAATTAAATTTAATCAATAAGGTCACTTTGGTCATTTTCATTATTTTTTTCATAAATAAGGAAGTTATTAAGGAATATTAAATAAGAAAATTTAATAATGGAAATTATATAAAT